AAGTAGTACAATAAAACACACACACACACAACACACACAATGGATAGTTAATAGTAAAGAAATTGCTTTAATTCTATATGTGTGGCAAGAAGTCCCTCTATATACATGAAATCGGGTTTTTGTTATAATAATGAGGTCATGAGGGGACAGAGGAATACCTGAAATGGATGCAGATGATTATGGATGTGCGGATATAATTGATACGGCTGTCATGAGAAGAAGTGTTGGAATGGACAGTAGTGAGATGGTTAATTTACAATCTATCTGCGGAAGTATTGCTTCCTTATATATACATTCAGTACCCCAGTCCTGATCACGCACTCACCACAGGTGCTTCCTACTTCTGTCACAGTAACCACTTCCATAGCCCCTGCCAATATCTCCTGTCATAACATAATATTGACACTGGTTGCTAGTGTGGAACTCCCGGGATTGCAGAGCAATACACCGTCGTCACATTATATGCTGTTGCCCCTCGGTAGCCATCAGAGTGATGTGCACCTCAGTCTAAACGCATTGGTCCACCAGGCAACACTCGGATGTAGGGATGTTGCCAGAGTGATTAGGTACTTAGCTGTGCTATCAGTGCCCTAATCTCATCTAGCTTACTGCGGCCGAGTGTCCCAGTGCTGCGATGGTGGGAGCCCGATGAGGCTCGATCGGAGCTGACCCAAGGTATTCACAACAAGAGTTCAAACTTAATAATGGTTTAATTTATTTTAGGAATCGATTATTTGCGCCAGATAACAAGGAGCTACGTTTATTAATTGTCCATGGTACCCATTCATCAGGACCTGCGGGTCACCCAGGACAAGTAAAAATGTTAGACTTGTTACAAAGATCATACTGGTGGCCTAAAATGAGTAAGTTTGTGGCTAATTTTGTTAAAGGGTGTGAGCTATGCGTTAGAACGAAAACCCCAAGAACAGCACTACCAGGCTTCCTTAAGCCCCTCAATATCCCAGTCCACGCATGGGTCGATATCTCAATTGACCATGTGGTAGATTTACCTCCTTGTAGGCCTTCTGGAAAGGTATTTAATCATATCCTCGTAGTAGTGGATCGTCTGACAAAATTGCGCCTCTTCATACCAACATCATCTCTAGATTCTGTAGAATTGGTAAGTTGTTTTATAAAGGAAGTGTACAAGCTTCATGGCGCACCAGAATCGATTATCTCCGATCGTGGCTCTGCATTTGTCTCGGATTTTTGGCATTGCTTGAACACACGTCTATCTGTGAACTTCAAACATAGATCTGCTTTTCATCCCCAGACGGACAGTCAAACGGAGATAATTAACTCGGCATTGAACCAGTATCTACGTGCATTTGTTAATTTTACGCAGGATGACTGGGTTGACTGGCTTTTATTTGCAGAATTCTCAGGAAACAACAATGTTAGTGAGACAACAGGTGTCTCTCCATTTTTTGCGAATTATGGCTACAACCCACGTCTTGGAATAGAACCACCAGCCCCCAAGACCTGTGACTTGAATGGATCGATAAAGAAAGAATACCTAAGAGCTGATGCTATTGCGGATCGTTTTAATCGCATATTGGAAAAACTTAAAGCACTAAGTTGTCAGTCTCAAGAACAATATGTGTATAATGTAAATGCTAGAAGATCGGAGGCTCCAGTATATAATCCGGGGGATAAGGTGATGATAAGCCTTAAAAATATTAAGAAAAATAGACCAAAAAATAAATGGGATGGTCCTTTCAAACTGATAAAGGTACATGATGGGGCGGTAATTGTTGAACTTCCGAAACATATTGGGGTGAATAATAGCTTCCATACATCAATGGTTTGACCGTGGCCAGACTCGATAATCCCAGGCCAATCTAGTATGAACATAAACGAGTGTTGTAATACTGCAGGCCGGTTTGTAAAAAGAGAAAATGACGGTAAAATTGTCGAAAAAAGGAAATTTGATAAGATTGTTGATGTACATGATGAAAATATTGATAAGACCGGTCTTACATACCTTGTTAAGTGGAAATATGATCAAAATCCCACCTGGCAGCCAGAATCAGATTTGAAAGGATGTGACAAGGCATTAATAGATTTCCACACCAAAAACCCCGATAAACCAGGGCCTCCAGAATGGGTGAAGATGCCGTCTACAAATGAATCAATTCCAGAACAACAACTACGAAGATCAAGTGGAAGACGGAAACAGATTATTAAATTGAAGTAATCACCACAAAACATAAAATTAAAGAGTAGAGAAAAGTTTGGGGCCCAATCTTGAATTTTGGAGTGGAGTACTGTCACGGGACTAAGTCCTACGAATGGCTTGGCGAACTTGGGACCTAGAGACTTCCATGTACATAGTTAGATTTGCTCTCCTAATCGCACAACACAGCTATTGATCCCGACCCATCCAGATCCTGATATTTTCTTTATGCATTCCATGACATTTACCCACTACTTTTTCTGTAGCGGGTCTCGCGGTTGGAATGATCTGGGCCTGTAAGCAATGATCCCCGCCGGCTCCAACAGTCTTGTACCTACAGTGGACCTAGAGCTTTAGCTTAGGACTTTAACATAATTAAATAAAAACATTATTTACATACTTTTAGTTCCCAAAACTCCTATCTAAAATACAATCTTCATAAATATTTGTTTAATTTCTAATTTGGCTATCCTAATTCAACTCACTTTATGTGCCACCATGCACTTGGATGTGTCCAAATATTTAAGGAGTGCTTCTATTATTCTTCTTGTTCGGAATAACATAGATACGGTTCTCGGCTCAATGACCTTATGTTTGTTTGTGTTGTTTATTGTACTACATGAGTCTTAGACTATCTAGCACATTGGGCTCCTCTCTGACCCAGGCCACACCTTGTACAGTGCTCCTATCCTCTTTTGTTACTTGAAAGATCATTGATATATTCCCCTTGATGAATAGCCATTCAGCTCAGTATTTACCCGTGGAATTCAGCCACCTTTTCCACGGAACCTTCTACCCAAAAAAAATAAAAATGGTAGCAATGGAAACTGCGTGCGCGGGAAAACGTCTCAAAAAACCTGCAGCCCCAGCCAGGCGAGGCCTAGACACCGGGACCACATGAGGTGCGCATATTCATCTATATCTCCCTTCTTTGTAACAGTCGAGGTCGACTTGATCCAATCCACCATCTCCGTATCGGGTGCTGGGTACGCTCCGGAAACTCATCGGATGGCTTTTCCTCCGTGATCAAGGTTTGGTGATGAGTAGAGCTCCGTCCCTACCATCTGATCTGATCGTGGTTAGCTTCATGATAGTGGTGATTGGGGGAATGTGTTGAGAGATGAAGACAATACAGACCGCGAAAGCGATTGGGAATCCTCGTCGAAGGAAGAACTTTGTAACTCAATCTCGGCTCTGCAGACTCTTCAGTGAGAGCTGGAGGTTCGTAGGGGACACCACTGACAGGTGTTGATAATAGTCCCCCCTAAATGCCCTAAAAACATCTGTTTATTTAGTAATGAAATTTCCAGCAATGTAACAACAAATGTTGCACAGGCTGCCTTTGTTTTGAACAAAAATTGCATATATCATCTTCAACTTTTCCTATATTGTGCAGATAGATGTCTAACCATCGTATAAGCATAGCGACATCGTGTCGCAAAACGGGTCGTGATTTAGTCAATCAAACGACGGAAAGTGGTCTATTCAGATTCTCTATGAAGAAAGAAAGGTAAATACAAAGGGAAAACATGTTCTACACATCTGCTAAGTGCGCGCCAATACGCGAGGGATCGACATTAGTTGTGGACCCGTAACACATTTTTTTTTTTTTGCATCAGATTTTAATTGCGTATGCAGCTATCTAGCTATGACACAATATCAAAGAAAAGTACAGAATAGATGATTCAACGTAAAGGAAGAGCACTCATGCCTCGGATCTCATTTGCAAGTACCACTGCGAAGTTATGGCAGCTTTTTCTTCACCCCAAGTCAACCCTCATCCGTGAATACCCACCCAGGGGAACGTCTCAAAAACCCTGAGTTATCCAGACATGCCTCCATCATCTTTCAACTTTTCTCCGCGCGAAATATGATCTGAGATGTCTCCTTCCCAAGTGGAGTAGGTGCCCAGGCTACTCAAACCATACCGGAGAACACCACCAGGAGGCGGACCACAACACCTTCCATCGTTAACTTGTTTTTATAGTGTCAGCTGCACTCTCGCAAGCGAAGTCGTGGCGCGCACAAAGCTCAATTCGTAAAACTCCTTGCCAAAATTCGGAATCTCATGCCCTTCGAGGTTATATCCGTCCTTCGCATCATCTTGTAAACTTGTCCTAATCCCTCTCACGTCCATCCCAAAGAACTGTCTCCCAGATTTGTGCGCCACGCTTTGCTTCCTCCGTCGGGTATAAATATCGGCGTGGGCGTGTATTTGGCGGTCAACTGAGGCCAGAGAAGGTCGAAGAGTGGTGTGGTCATCGGGATGAGGATGTACTTGGTCATACTTGTAGACTTGATGAGACGAAGATAGGAGTCAAACTCGTTGGGAGCGATAAAACGACGTGGAGGAGTAATTTGGATTTTTGCCTCGTGGGCCAACCTCTTTGATATTGCGAAATTTGACCGAACTTGGCTCTGGGAGAATATTTCACTCCCAGGTTCGTAGAGGACACCGCGTACAGGTGTTCAGTCTTGCCCTCCCCCGTAACACATTGTTGATGGTTAGAAAATTACATGCATGAATGTGCAGAGCAATTGCATTTACATGGATCATAATAAAATTCCTCGGAAGGAAAGTGACAGGGCGGGCAGTTCATAGGATCAATGGAGAGGATGCAGGTGGCTTAACTAGAAGGAAATTAACTATGACTGCGCTTCCTGGAGGAAATTAAGTCAAATTCATCAATGTGATTTGGAGGTTTGCTCCTATTTTAAATAAGTTCCTAGACACCTACATGAGCTCAATTCACACCATATCGGGATAATAAAATCAACATCAAATCAATATTTAATTATACTATGCTAAAAACTTTCCGATCTTTTAAGGGCCATATATGTCACACTCTACATCCCCATTAGTACTAGTGTAATAGAGCTTTATGTAATCTCCATTTTTGTTTGATATCACATAATACATAAAAGATCCATCTTTGAAATGTTAGCTCTTGTAAAGGCTGGAGCGGGGTTATTAAATACGATCCCAGTGATTGCCACCATAAAGCAATGGAAATTTCCGTAATTCTCCATATTCAGAATTGCCGACTTTTTGAGGAAAAGAACCTTGACTGTCCGACTGAAATTGGCCGAGTTTATAAGTCCAGAGATTTCCGGCAACGTCAGCAACATTTTCGTCTTCAATATTTGTAATACCACAGCTAAAAAAACGACCATCAACAGCTGTCGGCTTCAAAAAACTAAGTGCTGCAACAAAATGAGCAATTTGAAAAGTTTTCATCTTGAATTTAAAGTCAGTTAACTCCGCGAGAGCCTAGTATGAATTTTTTCAAGTGGATGGCGTGAGAGATAAGGTTGTGAAGAGAAAGAGATCGTGCTGTCTCGAGTGTTGCGAACGAGATATCAATAGGAGAATGGGAATGAAGATCAAGTGATATAGAGAACTGCTCTCTGATTGTATAAGATTGTGAATCCGATAAGACGAAGACTTGGTGGGATGGAAGCGTTAGATTAACCGTTGGCCATCCTATAGGCTTCTTATACTCAGAGGCGGCAGTAAATGCATTCTTCGGGCTGGCTCCTTAGCCAATACATGTCATATTTTTTGGTAATATAGAATGTTGCTGAGTCTTGAAATTACAGTTCCGTAATCCCCCAAGAAAAATATGAGGTCAAAACTCTCCACATCTTGGTCACAATTAAAGTTGCGGCGCTACCACTCCTTCTGTCCAGAATCCAGTTCCTTGTTGCCAAGAACAAGCAGCCAAAAATTAGACGAGATGTTTATGGAAGATGTTGTATTCGTTCATCGCAAATTGTTTACAAGCCGACTCCTGACAATAAGGCTCGAGTGAACACAAACTTGAGCAAAGAATTTTGGATTATGAGGGCTAAACATCTTTCGGTGGTTTCCCAGTGTTGTGTTATCCATGCAACTTACCATGGTACATGCTTTAGGTCGCGTCATAGCATATGCACGTGACTGTGGAACTAAACCGTGGGGTGTTTAGTGTGTAATGCATGTGTGATGCATGTGTGGGTATACTGGACCAAACTAGAACTAGATGGAATAGAGATAACGGAATCAGCGAGAGACTGATGGACTGAGAGAGAACGAGCTGGTCATTTCTCGTAGGAGAGAAATGATATCATAAGGGAATGTTCTAGCACTTGGCTGTGAACAACACAGTAAGTCTGGAGCAAGATATAAGGAGGTCTCAACCTCCGTCCTTTCATTTTTGTAACTAAGTTTCCTTTATACGAGAATATAGAGTCAAGTCTTACATATCACGAGAACACACGCGACAGCGACTATAGAGACCTACTGTGAGCATAACTTCCCCAAGAGTATCCATCGTCCGGCTCCCATATAGCCTAGTTAATATAACACCCAGCAAACCTCTGCTCTCACATTAAATCATGCCGAGCGGATATGAGGGGCAAGCCTAGACAAGAGGGCTTCAATTTCCGATGAGTCCAAACCAATTTTGGTATTTTTAAACTTTAACGCCGAGAAGGCGTACATGATAAGCCCGGCCTCTAATTCCTCTAGAGCACGTTTGGCGTGCCTGTACGCAATATTGTCCTCAGACATCTCTATGTTGAAATGGCGTCTGATTAAATCTCCACAGATAACATATTATCGTGTCGCTACTTGATGCGGCCAAGCCTATTACTTTTGCGCCTACAATAATCTCGCAACTGTCTCCACTTTAGATATTTATGTTGTATTTACTTTTTGTATTTAATTTAGTACCTGCGCACAGCACGTGAGCTCCTCACGTACTGCTTAGGTCCGTCTAAATAAAAGCAGCCATTATTATTCTTATTACTAATTCTTTTGTTGTCCTGTCTGGGTCTGTAACTATCTAGGACATGCAGGTCCTCTCTGCCTTCAGGTCAAGGATACCTATACCAGTAGTATACCCCCTCCTATACCTTCCATAAAGCTCCCCTTAAGTAGTACCACCCCTCACAAGTCCTCATTTTATCATACACTAAGAGGAGCCCTTTGCCCTTCATTACTCCCCTCTCCAGCCAACGAAACGGTGGCCGTTTGCGGGTGTATGGCAGCCGAGAAAAATCGCAAAAAAACCAGTGGGTGCGGGGCTCTCCTAATTCCGACATTAGGACTAGATCCGAAGACATAGTGATCCTTCTGATGCGTTCAAAGAGGCCGGCCAGCTAGGCGCTGCAGACTTGTGGGTACCTCGGGAAATTCACACTCTGCCTTTCTAGCCTCCTTACAATTCCTTCCCGAAGGTCGTGCTGAAATGTCAGAAAAGTCTTGACAGAGCGTGATTGCTGTATGGTAGCTTAGCCCGACTTATTTTGTGCCGTCCAGGGCGCTGGTGAGTGCCGTTGACTCATCGACAAAACAAGCCCTCCTGGCTAGTTAACCGAAATCTTGGTATTGGCGACAACAAAAAATCCATAGTTGAAATCTCCTCGAAAATATCGGTCCCAGCATGCTCTTCAGAGACCTATTCCCTCTCTCGTTCCACATCTCAGCCGCCTGTCCTTCCTCAAGATGTATAACCCCATTAGAGAATCAGTCCCCCATAAACCAAGACCCCAAATTTGTATATTATGACTTAATTTCCTCCTTGCGGATATACGTAGCGTCGTAAATTTGTAGTGAGTGATGGCCGGTAATGATTGAGGCAAGCTCCTGTTTGCAATTGGGGTGACGCCTTTATCGGTCGTCGAGGCGAGATGATGTGTGGTTAGAAAGAGGTTGAGAACTCAGAAGATAATGGTGAGTGCTGCATGATTGAGAAGTTGTCAAATGGAGATATGCATGTGTTTGATTTCGACATTGATTCGGTTGTGATTCTTCTTGGCTATCTGTTGTGCTGGCTCGGCTGAGTTGTTAGGAGACAGGGGAACGGAGGATGGGCTACTGGATTTTTATTTTTTTTGCATCAGATTTTAATTGCCTATGCAGCTATCTGGCTATGACACAATATCAAAGAAAATTACAGAAAAGATGACTCAATTTACAAGAAGAGCACACATGCGGCTGCTGGATTAGGAAAGGGTGGAAAAGAAAGGCTGTTGCCCATACGCTGTTCATGTACTCTACAATCTCTTCACCTGCCGAGTTTAGTGAATTAATCTATCCATATAATATCATACTACACATCATGCATTAGATGATATTATCAATCGTCGGGATGCACATCTAGCGTCACCTTCATAGATTACCATCGTCAGTAAGAGTTCTCATTTGATACCTACTGACACCCATTTGGCCACAGAGATACGCTCTCAGTATCCATCGTACCATCACCAAGCGTGGGCGCGCCATCCCTGCGACTCACCATTGCACTTGAGCCCGTGTAACTCCACCGACGGACAGCAGAGTCACAATTGCCATATACCTCACAGCTCATAACCACAATACTATCCCAGATATGCAGAGCATACTGAGCGTACACACCGGCACCACTGGAAGGTGAAGAATCCGTCTTTGCCGGTAAAAGCAGCCGTTGTGTTGGCGTCTGGACAGACCCAACATTGCAAATGAAAGCCAGGATCTTCTCTTCTTGCGCTCGAAGATTACAGTATACATGGCTGTTGTCATCCTAACAAATGTCACGGAGAATAGGTGGTATTCAAAAAAAATAAAAATTAGAGTATTATGGGAGGAAATTGGCTACATCAATTCAAGACTATGTTCCCATCTGACTTATTGTTGTGCTCATTTTGAGAGATTTGTGGCTCGCACTCGCCTGTTCCATACATGAACTCCCCCTGCTGAAGCAATGGCAAAAAAATAAAGTGGGGGTGAAATTCTGTACCCAATTGAGCTGTGCCTGAAACTGCCCGAGGTGACCATAGAAAAAGTGGTCAGGTTACTTCTCATCTCTGCATGAGCAGGTGTCAGGATTATTGGCTTAGCTCGGAGGACACGGGTCGGAACGGGACGAGGGCCAGACAAGACAGAGGCGGAACGGGTCGGAGTCGGGGTATAAGGTAAAGCTTATAATAATCGGACCAATCTAAAGTTTAGAATAATTACAAGACAAAAAGCTACGGAACAAATTAAGTCCTAGACCTTCCATAAGTACTCAAGAGCGGCTACTACAATCAGGCGTGTGATAGTCTACAGCTATAACATAGCAACTGATTGCTATGTTGATTAGTAACTGTTGCTATCACAACATTGTAACCATTGCAACGCATTGACTATGTTACTAGGGAAGTTCCTGACTTGGTTGACCAGACTAAATGCAACTTCTCAGCATTGGACTATGGTACAATGGTAGTAACATGCAGGTCGTTTCCATAGTGGGAAGTCGGTCTGTGACAGCAGGTGAGGATGGCGTTTTCGTGCTGAAACCGTCAGTGATTGTGAATGTCCGGAAAGAGCACAAGCTAAGCGATGACAATGTCGAATCAGGTAGAGACTCAGATCAGGATTGAAATGTATAAGATTCTGAACTAAGGAAGAGAAGGAAAGGAAAGTATCTACAGATCTATAACAGTACATAATTTAAATCTGGCCCGTGCATTCCGTGTAGGCCGGGGGAAGGCAGGGATACCTGTGACTCGGAGGTGATGAATGAAAGCCTAGGTGATCTGGCATGGAAGTAGAGATAGGAATCGAGGCTCGGGCGCGTGGTGGCCGAGGCGGAACAATGGAAGGGAGATTGTCAAAGTTTTACTTTTGTAATGCGGGGTTTTGCGTGGAAGTTTTCTTTTGTTTTGTTTTCAACTCTGGGCTGCTGTACTCGTCATGCTTCAACACATAGATGCGTTTCGGCATGGTTCCGGTCATTGAGGTGGGACGAGGCACTTGTACTTTACGGTAGTTAACCTGATCCGGCCCGACCCCACTTGTGCTCAAGCTCCAGTAGGAGAGCGACGGTAGTTAATTCACCTAGCACATTAATGAACAAAAAACGCACAATTCGAGAAATTCGAAAATTCCAAAACTCATTTTCTCCCTCTTTCCTCCCTCCTCGACCTCGTCGCATCCATCTCTGAATTGTGATCGAGCTCAGGCATTTTCACCATGCCTCCAGTTCGCAAAAAGCGTCCCAATGCCAAGTTGGACAACACGAGAGTGTACCCGAGGGCTCTCGAACAATTACCTGGCCTTGTCCAGTCTCCGAAATGCGCGGAGATGAGCATGGTCTCCATCAAAGGGAAGGAAAAAGCCCTCCCTGCCGTCGCTGAACCCGATACTGACATGATCGGGTCAGTTGAAACTGTTGAGGAAATTCCTCAACCACCCTCCGTCCCTCACGGGACTGGAGAATTGTCAAAATCTCC